CTCATGACATCGGAGTAGAGGGACAGTATCATCTCCCTTGATCTGCTGGCCACGCTTCTTTTGTGGCAGCCCAGGATGCAATTGGCTTTCTGGCCTGTGAGCTCACATTGCTGGCTCATATTCAGTTTCTCCCCTACCAACACCCTCAAGTCCTTCTCTGCAGGGCTGCTCTCAATCCACTCGTCATCCAGTCCCTATTTAGGCTTGCTCAGATCCATGTGCAAGACCTTGCACTTGGCCTTGTTAAACTTCATGAGGTTTGCACAAGCCCACCTCCCAAGCCTGTCCAAGCAGGTCCCTCTGGATGACATCCCCTCCCTGCACCACACAGCTTGGTGTCATCAGCAGACTTGCTGAGGGTGCACTCGATCCCACTGTCCACGTCACCAACAGACATTAAATAACACCAGTCACAACGCCAACCCCTGAGGAACACCACTCACCACTGGTCTCCAGTTGGATATTGAATCATTCACCACATGCTAAGGAGAATCTCCATCCTTTACTGGATGCAGGGGGAAACGCAGGAACAAAGGATGAGGAAGAGGCTAAGGTACTTAATGCCTTCTTTGTCCCAGTCTTCAACAGTAAGACCAGTTGTTCTCTGGGTATCCAGCCTGCTGAGCCAGAAGAGAGGGTCGGGGAAAAGAATGAAGCCCCCATAATCCATGGGGAAATGGTCAACATCCTGCTGCTCCACTTAGACGAACACGAGTCTACGGGGCCGGATGCGATCTGCCCAAGGGTACTGAGGGAGCTGGTGGAATTCTCACCAAGCTACTTCCCAACATTTCTCAGCAGTCCTGGCTAACCAGAGAAGCCCCAGTGGTCTTTTTGAAGACGAGGATATCTTTGTCATGCCCTTTACTGAAGGGTTATACAGGATACACAGCCCAGCTCTAACTTAGATACCCTAAGTGGTTTTATCACTGGAGGCAACGTATGCTGAAAATTGTGACCTCTTCCATCTTTGTAGGTAATCATCAGGATTTCAGCTACTGACAAGGATGAACTATCACCTAGAGGTTTCTTCAAATTCTCTCTGGCCACCGAAGATACCAACTTCTCCTTGGTTGAGAACTACGGTAGTGTATCCCTGCAATGCATTTTCTCAGCTAGTCAAAGAAGACTCTAGAACACTGGGGAGAAAAGCTGCAGCCATGACCTATGATTGGTCTCGCTGAGCTAAGTAGTAATTTTTTTTAAAGGCTTAACTTACTGAAAAAAAAATTCTTTGTTGCCACCCAAGTTCCCCTGGGTTCCCTGAAAGCTGGCTCTGTCTAAGGGGAAGATGTACTAACTGACTGACAATCTATAGGGAAAATCTGGTAGAGATTATCACTTAATTAGATGTTGTTACTTCTTCCAGATAACACAGCTAATATCACTGTCAAATATGGACAGTTTAATCGTGAACTTGCCAAAATCCACTACCTGCCTGTCATCATCTCAGACAACGGTGATCCGGAGCTCAGCAGCACAAATACACTTGTCATCAGTGTCTGCAAGTGTAATGAAAAAGGCAACTTTACTTTTTGTGAGGAAAGAGCTAAAGAAGTTGGAGTTAGTATACAAGCACTGGTGGCAATTTTCATCTGTATCTTCACAATCATTGGTAGGTATTTGTCTCTTCTAATGTTCTCTGACTTAAAATGTGGGGTTTTTTAAAGTGGGGGTTTTTAAACCGAGATCTGCAAAAGCTTTGTGGCTATAAAATGGTCATAAAGGCAGAAATAGTGTAACTATAGGACTCATCTCACATGCTCTTTCTATTTGGCCTGTTAGTACAGTTTCAGCTACAAAGCTGTTCATTCTATTGGAAAGGCTGCATCACTGGAAAGGTTATTGCACGTATGCATAATATACTTGATTTACTGTTACCAGACTCCCATGCAGCTATAAAACTGGAAATTCGTGGTGGGGCAATAACAATAGGATTCCTGTTTCCAAAGGGCGAACTAGTCTGGAAATCGTTTAAACAGTACACTGAACGTATATACATAAATCTGTAACAAATCAGCAGACTGGTTCCTATTCAGAGAAGGGGTGGTATTTTTTCTAGCTTGAGAAGAGGCCTCCTTTGCAATTACCACATAAGGAGCATTTGATGTCTGGCGTTAAAAGACTTACCTGTCTAAGACAGTAGTTGATTCAATGAACTTGTGACACTATGCATTTGTAACTTGTGATTCCAGCTCAAAAGTAAATTATACAATTTCTGTACAGACTGAACTGCTTTGAGAACACACAAATCCTACAGTTAAACACTATTTAAAACTATTTTTTTAAAAATAAATATGTTTAAAAAATCTCTGGGAGAAAAAAAGCTTCAGAATGTGTTAGGTATCTTAAATGTGATTTGTTTTACTTCTCTGTTTACACATGCTCATCTAAGGTTTTTTTGCAGTAATCGCATTGCTCATTCTTCTAAGAAAGAGACACAAGAAGGACTTGAGTGGTCTTGGGAGGAATGTGGCAGAGATTCATGAGCAGCTTGTCACCTATGATGAAGAAGGTGGTGGCGAGATGGATACCACCAGCTATGATGTCTCTGTACTCAACTCTGCCCGCAAGAATGGTATAAAGCCAGAAGCAGTTCCCTCTCCATATGCACAAGTCCAAAAGCCTCCTGGAAATACAATCTCTGGTGCTGGAGAAATGGAAATGATGATTGAGGTTAAGAAGGACGAAGCTGACAATGACAGGGATTTGCTGCCATACGATACACTTCACATTTACGGCTACGAAGGTGCCGAGTCCATTGCGGAATCTCTCAGTTCTTTGGAATCGGGCTCCTCAGACTCAGACATTGATTATGACTTTCTAAATGACTGGGGTCCCAGGTTTAAAATGTTAGCTGAGCTGTATGGATCAGAACCAAGTGAAGATTTTGTGTATTAAGTTCAAATTAGACATGAATTTTCTTCTTCCCACTACAGATAGACATTAAGAGCCTCCCAATGGCCAAAGAACTCAGCTCTTCACCCAAGCTGTACTAGGATTTCAACCAGACATGAAAAAACCCTGACAGCACTAGGACTAAAAAGAATCACACAGCTCACATACACTGACTTCCCCCAGCACTGCCATCCTAGCTAAGTCAGATCTTTCTCCCAAAGTGCTGCCTGAGGATCTGTCTCCTAGCACGCCCTCTCTACCCAGAGAGACACTTCTCCTTAAAAAGTGGGTTTGTTTCCAGTTTCTCCTTCGTTTCTCTCCCTTTTACTGTCCTCATCAACATGCATTCAAGGTCACCATCCACTGCATCAGAAAGGTTCAGGAGCATTGGGAAGGAATGTTTTGAACATCATCCTGTATCTCCAGCCAGCTGGTTTGCTTGGCCCTCTTGTAACATCTTTATTGATATGCCACGTTTATGCTTACCCAGCAGAGGAGAGGAGGAACATATGGTCTATCACTTAATATTAGAAATTATTCCATCACTTTCAAAAAGAGGCATGATTTTTCCTTCTTTCCTGTCTATTAATCATTCTTGCTTTATGGTCTTCTACCACATGTATGAGTTACTAAAGATAAAATTAGACAGAATTTTTAGATGCACAATCTGGTTTCATCTGTCATTTTTAACAGCCCGATGATGATTTCAGGCACCTTTCTGGCATGTTAGAATTTGCTCTAGCTAGCAGCTACATTGTTTTTTCTTTCTATAAATAGGATCTCAGTGTTAGTCAATGGAACATATCCTGCAGGGCAGGAAATGTAGAGATCAGGGGAATGTTAAGACTAATGTTAATACTGTAAATCTCTCTAGATGGCAACATAGGTCTCTCTAGATTTCTACAGAGGGGGTTTTATTCAATGTTATTAAAGCAATTGTATACTTTCAGGGACAAATCAATGAAGGGCCTCATTACTGTGAAACTGTTCTGATTTTTTTCTAAGCAGGTACTGTAAAACGGGTATTTTCCACCTAGGAAAATATTGTAGCCTTCCAAATCAGAATGCTACACACCCACTTATTTGTCTGCATAAAAGAACTGCAAACATAAGTAAGATTTTGGAGCTGCAACTGCTGAGTCCCTGGTAAGCGTATGTTTAGTTTCTCGCCTGATGAAGAGCCACAGAATGAACAGAATTAAACTTCCCATGCAGGAAGTTACCCAGCCAAATACATTTTGTAAAAATCAGGTCTCTCAGGACAATGGCCTGTCTCTGGCTTCTGGCAATGCAGATTCCCATTGCCTTCAACAGGAGCAGAGCCCTACCACACAGATACTCAGTTCCGCAGAATCTGTGCTGGCACTGTATGTATTAGTTTAGTTGATTTATTTAAATTTGGTAGCTAACCAAATAACACTAAATCTTTTTTCTTTTTTTTCCTAAATCAGTATAATGGAACCTTACAAATTTGCTTTTCACTTATTCACGTCATCTCTAATTTACACTCCCTTCCCCCCCAAAAAGCTCTCTTGGCAGGAATTAACAAGTAATATAATATGGTCTTGCATTAGTCCTCACTACTGCAAAGGATCATCCAGTACGATACTGAGCTGGACACAAACACCCACTGTTATCAATAAGACAATCACTCAAATTTTCAAATATGAACTAAAGGAAAACTAAGCAGAATTCTGTCCATCAGTCAAATCAGCTTTGCACCACATCCTTTACAAAAGAAGTACATTTTGGGATGACAGTTTTGTTTTATTTTTAATGTGTTCATTCTCTTCTTTTTTGCTCAAACCAGTCCAGTGTACACTACTGAGGTTCCATATGTCAGTATACTATAAAGAATGCTAACTAATAATACTTACACTTTAAGATTTTCATCAGTAATTAAGATATTGGCTATCAACAGGTATAGTTATGAAATTATTTAGTGCAGTAGGCAAAGTACTTTGCTCAGTCTCATCCGTATAGCATTATTTGTAATCTCTATTTTTAAGCCTGTTTTATAAAGTTATTTTAAGGAACATTGTATCAAGTTCCACTGTATAAAGATGTTTGCACTGGATAGTTTCTTTTTATATTCCTGTACTGTATTTTTATTACTTTTTTTTTTTACTACATAAAAGCCAATCTCAAATTTGGATTTGCTGTGCATTAATGAGTTTTACCCTGAAGACAATACCAGGCTTCATACCACAGTGAGCTCAACCACAGAAACATCGGTATAGATAATGCTCTAAGTGAACTCAGACTAGACATAAATTCACTAAAGGACTTTCTATTAAAGAAGTTTTCTCCCACTCTTTGGAAAGCTGTCAGTAAAGCTCCCAGGGCACGGAAGGGAAAAGCCCCAAGAGCACAGTCTGGCTTCAGCAGCCGGTGGGGTTGAACCCTCTGACTTTGAAGGACTCGTACTTACCAGTGCTACGGGATGCATCCAAATTCCAAGCACGTCTGGTGTTTTAGCAGCCAGACATCAGGGTGATTTTGAACCACCATGTTCACAGAGATCTTGCCCTTTTCTCTTACTGGGAAAGGGCACACGGCAGCTCAGGTAGTCAGTACCACCCGCCTGTGGAAGGGCTACCCACATGGCCAGTGCCCAAGTGGTCTATCAGCAGTACCTCAATGGGAAAAAAGGTGAGAGTCCCAGCAGCACCGCGACCACCAGCGCCTGCCATCCTCCTCTCTCTGATCTGCGGCTACAGACAGAATCAAGCAGGACAGCTCTGTAGTACACAAAAAGCTCCAGCTTTCGCACAGTCCAGGATTTAGACAGGACATGGCAGAATAGTTCACATCCATGACAGAAAAAAAATATATTACCCTACATTTGCAGCTTTAGAAAGCGCAGTTTCTCACCATTTCTTTTCGCTACTACTAATGACTACCCAATATATTTCCAGTAGTATTGTAGTGCTTTAAAAAAATCACATCCCTTTTCCCCAGATATGGCATTTATAATTTACAAAGCCTAGAATAAAGCAAAAAAGTTCAATTCCTTCACTGCTAATTGCCATGAGCAAACTCCAGATCAAACACACTTTAGCACAAGTTGTATTAAAAACACAATAGAGAGGCTAATTATGTTATAATAAAATTCGTTTTTCCATAGAAAGAATTTGATTAAACAGCTACTTGCAACTCGTAGCAGATTCTCATAAAGGTTTTCATTATTCATTTAATTAATATGCATTTTAATCTCCTATCCCTAAAAATATATCATAAAATGTTATTTTATTACATTCAGATGCAGAAGTTCATGCCATTTAATAAAGGTTTTTTACTCCCACCCCATTAGAAATTTTTATGAAATAATAACTTGCGATCAGAATCCTTGATATGTATCAAAGCAGCAATGAAAAGCTGTTTGAATATTAATACCTGGCAACACTGCCGCATTTCCCAGATACATCAGGTGAACTAAGGTCTCGTTATCAAAACAAATTTTCACTGCTCAGAGAAAGAAAGAACAATTATATTGGGTATTATCCGATTACTGTCCAGTACTACCGATACGTTATCAGAAAAAAATACAACAGCAAATCTTCAGTTAGTGGGTTCTCTTTTCTTCTTTCAGCAACAAAGGCTTAGAGTAGGACCGGAGGGGACGAGCCAGCGTGGCAATCAGACCTGCTCAGTAAAGCCACATTGGTTGTTTTGAAGCCTAGAATTCAGAGTACAGATTCACCTATATACTTTTATTTTAAAAGTTTTTACTCCTATGCATATGTCACACAGAGGGGAAATGCTCACGGCGGTAGGAAACACGCAGCTATTGTATAATATTTGGCTAGAAATAACAGATTTATTTCTATTGTATTTCAGGTGGGGCTACGACAGAAAGATCGAATAACCATCTTTACTTACTATTCTCCCTCCCTACTTTCTTTTAATCAATGTTTCAAGTTTGAGGGAGTAACAAATAAACCTCTTGTGGTTTTACCTGCATGTTTCCTGGAATGAAAGAAATCACCAAGGTGATATCTTTCCCACTTAAGAAGCTATCACAATTTTACTGTTGCACAAGCCATCGAGTCTTACCAGGAACTGAGTAGAGTCCGATCAGATTAAAGTGGATGATTTAGCCTAAACCTAGCCTACAGAAAAAAGCGTAACAGAAAACAAAACAGCAAAGACACCTTTTAGTCTGCATCACACAAAAAAAAAGAAAACAAAACAAAACCAGCAACTCTTTCATGATCCAGCCCACAGATCTCTGTTGACCTCTCTCAGCTTCCTGACTTTGTTCATGCCTGCCCTGAAAGAAAAGGGAAAAACAGCATTTCCTTCCATTTATCCCCACCGAGGGGCTGCCCCACCTGCTTTCCCACAAGACTCTCTTACATCGTTCTAGTTAACCCCTTCATCAATGCCACAATCAATCATAAATCTCTGCAATTCCTTCATTCCTCATTAAAAAAGAAACCTCTACTTGAAAGCCAGTGCTCTGAAAGAAGTTGCCAAAACAAGCGGAACAAAGCAAGGCAGTGTCTACCAGACAAACACATATCAAAAATAAGCCAAATGAAGTATTTAAGAAAGTCAATGACTGTTGCACTGCAAATGGTCCAAGGAGCTCTTCCAACAACCTCACCAGAGCTCAAGGCCTGACCTGCAGCGCCCTCTGCAAACCAGTACATCCTCAGGTATTCAAAGGGAGGCTACTGCACACTACTTTCATGCAACTGGATCAGTACACAGAAAACAGACTGAAAACTGAGTCCACATTCTATCACTTTTAAAAGTCTTGCCCGAACAACTGTCCATGCTTTTCTCTCCCTATTTAAAGAGCAGATCTGAAAAACCTAAAAATGCCAAAAACCCAAAAGGGACCTGAAACATCAGAGTCTATTGCTGCTCTTACTGCACACAATACGTCTCCCGTAGAAAATGACGATGTAGAAAAAGCAGGCTGGGGCGGAAGCAGAAAACCACACGGGAATTGAGCGTG